AAGGTGGTTTCATTGATAGAATCAGCATCTCCGAAAAAGTCAAAGTACCCTATGTGGCCAAATCTGACATCAGACGAGTAAATCAGGTTTTCTGCTGTCATTTTATATATCCTAAAATATCCAGGATTGACGTTCACGAACCTGGCTGTCAGAACACTATTGTAGCAACTAAAACCTATGTGGAACATCAGAGGGAGCATAAAATCACTCTGGACAATTATGATTAGGAACCTTGATTGTTCCATACATTTTTACATTTACATGGCAAAGTCTGAAAATTTTGGCTATAATGCTCTCTTCCCAGTATTTTTTGCTTCGCGCTATATTATCGAATACTACAATGTTTGTACTTTCTGGTGTGTGGAGTTGTAATTTTCTACTGTTAGCACTTAAGCTGTGTGTAACTACTTTGCTCAAATAGTGTTTTATCAAATATGCTTTTGCTAGCACAACTATATTTGTTACCCCTGTTGCATGTGGGCCATTTCAGTGCTGATAAAAATACAAAGAGCTGTTCCTGTTGATCCCAAACATGATGCTAAACCTGAGGAAGAGATACGTAAGAAGCAGCTGAGAGGTAAGAGGTGGAAAGTTAATCATTTCTCCCCAGTGGAAAAAAAAAAAAAGATGATTCAGAAATAAAGAGTGTCTATCCATGGAATTGACGAGCAAATGAAAATAAGTAATTTGGGTAGTGAACAGTATTTTAAACCAACTTTTATGATGTATTTTGTTACTCAGCTCACACCGCTGACAGAACAATGGTTGTATCCTGAAAGGACTATTGCTAATGACTGCTCTGAGCTCAGCAGTTTGTGCTGAATCAGTGCCTACAGCTGGGAACCCCTCAAGCAGGAGAAATAAACTCCGTGTTTAGATCAGAAAAGTCAGAACTGACAGTGCAGTGGTTGCTGTTCCTAGTGTTCCTATAGTTCCTAGTGCCATTCTTACTTACAGTTAATAGCGTTTTAATTGCATCCAACAATTTACCTTTGAATACAACAGAAGGTTTAACTTTTTGGATTTCCTTTTCCCCTGCCTCTCCTGCAACCTGTTTCCAGAAGGCAAGAGCAGGACTCCCTTTTGGTTACCAATGTCACTCTCAAGGGCTCTAAACAGTGCTAATGGTAAATATGAAAATGGAATAGAAATACTGTTCTTCCTTTGTGGTAAACTGTGAGAAGATGGGTTGAAAGGATAGTACAGAAGGCAATCTCTCCCAGTGAATTACAGCTGTACTGGTTACTGAGGGTTGGAAACATCAGTGCCTGCCCCATGAGGATGGGGGTTATGCAAGAGTGGGTGAGCTGGTCACTGATTACAGTTAGAGCTGGGGACTGAGAACTCTGGTGCAGGATTTTGGGCTGGAGCCTGCTGGCTGTCCTGTGAGGAGGTAAGGGACAGACAAGGTAAGAAGATGCTGTGTGAGGGACAGACAGGGTTAGGTGGCTGGGTAAGGGACAGCTTGGGGTTAGCCAGTCATGCAGGGAGGGGAGAAGGAGTCAGTGCTGTGTGGAGCTGCCTGTAAGCAAGCCCTTTAAAAGAAGGCATGTAATAAAGGACTGGGGTGATGCCAGTCCATCTCGACATAATTGCAACAGTAAACTAAAAGTCATCCATTGCTACCTGCTGTGCTAATTCTCTTCAGTTGCTTTCGATAGCAATTAATGTATAGAAAGGTATTCGGGTTTCAAAGATATTGCTGGAATGTACACTTGCCACTACTACAATAGAACAGGGAGTTCTCTAACGTCTTGTATTCATGTGTACTTCAAAGCAATACAAAAGGCCTTGCTAAAAGCAAGGGCAAGGTGATTATACTGAACTACAGAATCATAGAATGGCCTGGGTTGGAGGAGATGTTAAAGATCATCCAGTTCCAACCCCCTGCCATGGGCAGGGACACCTTTCACTACACCAGGTTGCTCCAAGCCCCATCCAGCCTGGTCTTGGACACTTCCAGGGATGGGGCAGCCTGTGCCAGGGCCTGACCAGCGTCACAGGGAAGGATTTCTTCCTAATATACCACCTAAACGTACTCTCTGTCAGTCTGAAGCCATTTCCCCATGTCCTGTCATTCCACACTTTTGTAAATAGTCTCTCTCCGTCTTTCTTGTAGGCTCCCTTCAGGTACTGGAAGGCCTCAATTAGGCCACCCCTAAGCTATTGAATGAATGAAGTCTCCCTAAATGCTCCTGTTAGGGAAAAAAAAAAAGGAATTAGGCATGTGTGGCAGTTCTGTTTCTGATTTAGTAAGTGTAACTGTGAGAATTCTCTACCCCTTCTTCCCCACCCCAGCATCTCATATAAAGAGCACAGACATCTGTAGAAGCTGCAGTGAGACCAGGAACCACCCTCCATGCTGCCCAGACTTATTCCACTGCAGGTGAATCACTGGTAAATATGAAGCAAATTAAATCAGCCACCTCTTAGAGAAACTGCTGTTATCAAAATAATTCTACACAGATTCATACCGGCCCTTCATACTTGATGCAGTGCATAAGTTTTAACTAAGTTTACTTTTAAACTCTCCCACTTTTGAAAAAAACAGATTTTTTTTTCTCTGCAAACTGCTGCAAGGGAATGACAATCTGGCTTTGTCTTGAAACGTTCTGAGTCCTTTAGATGATGCTGTCTTGACAGCCCTGCTATTAATAGTGGCATTTTCCCTGCTGTTTAAAAAGGAGATTTGTGCTGAACTGAGAATCAGTCATGTTCGTAATAATTTTTCACTAAGGGTGGATGCAGTCTATGAGCTTACGTAGGAGAATTTACATTGACGATACCGTGAGACATTAACTTATTTATGGTATGTCATCACACATAGCTGCAAAATAAGAGAGCCTTTCTTCAAAAAGAAGTGCAGTAGGGCTGAATTTACAGTATGCTTGAATCATTGTATGTGTGAGTGCAAGACCTGACCTTTTCATTCTGCTTGGAGATGAGAAAAGACTTTGATAAGCACATGGAACAGGAATAAGTACATGAAACGATCTTTCTACTATAAGATGCCATTACAAATTCATTAGAAGTTCAGCATACGCATCTGAAAACATTTAGTGGATTTTTGGTCTCTTTTGGTAGTGTCTTTTAAACCAAATATTGCTCTTTCCTTCCATTTAGCAGCAAATCCACTTTTGGCTGAGCTCATCCTTGATAACAGAATTCAGGAATGGTGTGAAAAAGTCAGAACTTAAATGTGAGCTCTCACAAATAATTTAGGAGCTACAAGTGACATGGCTAGTCCGAAAGGTGGTGTTTTTTTGCAATAAATTGTTATTGAGCCAAACACCCAGTGGAAAATTGAAAGCGCAGCTTTATTGCGAGGGGGGGGAAAGTGAGGCTCTGGAACCTTTCAGTCATTAACATATTGAAATAATTTCATATTAACACATACTGTACCAATGACTGATAAAATTTCAATGGGAAAAAGTTGAAAAGTCACCTTATGGGAGCATTTGATTCAGAAAAGAGCCTTGTCCAGAGCAGAAAAGAGGCACAGACTTCAGGACAAGTGTCTTCAAAGTCGGTTGGTGTTGAATATCTCCTGTATATTTGGTAATGGGTATCTTGAATTCGGTTTTGGTTTAAGAGTATTTTCTGTTACGTTACTGTCTGCATAGGTAGTCTACTTTTATTATTATTTTTCTTGATTTGTAGGATTCCTACACATTTCCACTCTGGCTGGTGACCGTGATTCTAGAGACTGTAGGCTTGATTTTGTTAGTTTTCACAGAATTCCCTTGGGCTGCAAATGACTCTTCATTTTGGAGAGCTATCACATTCCCACATGCTTATTGAAATTGTGTTCATGCTTAGTAGTATTGTGTTTAAGAATGAGCAATGTTGGCAATGCCATGTATAATTTCATGTCAACAGAACATTTCATACCACTTCATATAAACGACGGGCTAGCACATTCTTAAAACTATTTTTTAGGATGTTATCATAAGCAGGCATAATCTTCATGGTGTTATGCTTTAAGTGATGTATCATCCTGCTGCCTTTTATAATACTCATGAATTGTAGAAGTTAAAAGAGCCTCTGTTGAAAGAACTGTAGAAGTTACCAACATAGAGGTGAGGTATTCTTTATTAGAAACTTTTAAAGCTACACTGTTACTTGAAATCAGTACTTTAATTTCCACTAAAGAGGATGTAGAGAGCCGAAAGAGGATGTATATTTCACGCAACTTTAACCTTTCTGAGAAAGAGTATCTTTTTCAGGGGATCCTATGAAAATTTCCCATGTTTTAAAAGTGAGATGTTTGTAGCTAGAAACATGCCAAGCTAGGTGCCCAATTCCCAAAAGATCCTGCATCTTCCACTCAGATGTTTCACACCTTTTATGACTGAGTAAGTAAAGTGCACCTAGAAAGGCCAGGAGTATCACCTTTAACCATTTAGCCTGATGGTATCTCTGCACACAAACCACATCATCACACATCAAGACCCTTGTGGACTTGATGGATAGTGAAAGTGAAATGCTATCGGGTTACATAAACCACTGATTGATGAATCATAGGTAATGTAATTTTTCAGAGGAGAAGACTCCAGAGAGACTTTGAAGCTTTGAGCTACCAGTCAACCTGCAGTGCATTTGTTCCTTTAACTTTTCTCAAAGTATGTTCCTGAGACAATTTGTCTTGTTAGTGGAAAGCTGATGACCAGATCACACGACAAATCCCTTTGTACTTTAACTAGGAAGTACTGCCCAAAAGTATATAATTAGTTTTTCGACTTTCTGGAAAGCTGTTTTGACCTGTCTCAGTGCCAAGACTTGAAGCTGTATGTACCAACTCTTAGATGTGATGTCTAATGGATTTAATTGAAGTCAAATTATCCCTTCCTGTCATGTTAGCTAGAACTATTTATTCTTGGTCAAATTAATCTCTGCTTTTGTAACATCCAGTAATTAGTAACATAATCTCTATCCCTTCTGACCCTATGTCACCCTTCCTAGAACTCTGCCCAGCCTGTAAATTTACACACTCAGGTGCACTCCTAAAGTTCCTTTCTTACTTGTGGGTGCTCTCCGGATGTCTTCAGTGGACAGGAGTGTCAGCATTTCATGCTCGGAGATCTGACATAGATGTAGCCCTTGGCTTGCTTTTTTTTTTTTTTTTTTTTTTTGGTAGGGAAGAGAAAGAGATGGGCTTAATTTTACTTCTAAGCACTCAGTCCATGTCTGTCACATCTGAGCACTCTAAAATGCACAGCTGAAACAACTTGGCAAAAACACAAGTTTGGGCCCATGCTTGGTTAATTTTCAACAATGTAGATTTAATGTCAAAGTTCAAGCGTGCCGTATCAGTGATGTCTTCCAGAAACCTTTTCAAAACTGTAAGTACCTAATTCTTTTACCATAAGAGTATTTTCCGTTGTCAGTCTAACATTAGTGTAATTGCATTTGAGTAACAGTTTGAACTATACCTAGTAAAACAAGATTTCAAAAAGCTTTTTGCAACCATAAAAATAAATTAGTTAAAAATTCTGACACAGTAATTGCTTTCTGAATCGTTATGTTTTGTGATTTTTAACCCTGTAAACAAAATAAAGACGTGGCAGTTTGTCTATATGACTAAGCTTAGCTAAATGGAAGATGAATTTTACATTGAAAGTAACATGTCCTCTTGGGACTTAGGCAAGGCAACTTGCAAAACATTGCATCATCAGCTTTAAATCCAGATATTTGGGTGCTTTTGTTAGTTTTATAGTTAGCTAGAGTGAAATGGGATTTAAAACTATAAACTGTGTTGCTGAGTTTGTGTGGGGCAAATGGGACTGAAGTGATATCTCAGTGCTTGCCTGCCTGCTGCTGTCAGCTGCACCAAACAAGTCTGTTCTCGTCCCCACAGTAGGGCTCTGCTTTGGTTTAAGGCAGCCTTGTTCAGCCCATGCTGGATGCTGTGTGTCCTGCAGCTGCTTTGAGCTGCCCACACTGAGGGAGATCTTTGTGCGCTGTGCCAAGTGGGTCTCTTCTGATCACTTGTCTGTCTGGTTGCCCGTGGAGATTTAGTCAGACAGTGAAAGTTGCCTGGAAGAGGCAGTTGTGGTGTCATTGCCAACTCCTAGCCTGCCATAAATGTGTTCCCAACTCAGTGCAGAAGTGGAGAGAAGAATTTTACTGTCCTCTTCCATGAAATATCAGTGAACACTGCAGGCTTATGAGTGTGATTCAGGTGCAGGTGTTCAGCTGGTAGGTCAGTAAGAACCCGAGGGCAAACTTTTGCACATCTATTTTAATATAGCTATATTTCAGCCTGTTTAATGAGCTAAAGAGGTTTGCGGATGAGTCTGAAGAGCCCAAGAGCATAAACAAGGCACACAAGAGGAATGGACAACAGAGAGCAAGTAGATGGGAGAAGGGAGTGGGAGCACACTTGGTTCATCTTTAGGCACAGAAATGGCAATTTAAATTCTAACCTGGACTTAAAGTGTGGTGTGAATGCACCTGAGATGAGTGAGTTATGCACCTGTGTCTTTCTGATAATTTAGGGTATTAATCTGCATTGGCTTCAGTAACATTTGATGATGGGTGTCCACAAAATATTATAGAACTGAGGAAAGTAATTTCAGAAACAGAGCTGGAAATAATAATTGTCTACTTTGTTATTCAATTAATAATCTTAATACTCTTCCCAGTAAAAAATTGATCAGAATGCTTTTTTTTCCTGGATCATAATTTATGTTCTGAGAGAAGGTATGAATAATTAAAGGCAAGCAATGCTGGTTTGTCTTCTGTAATTGCTTGAGGAGCAGCGTCATGTGTCTGATTCCCTAAGTCAAAGGGTAACAGGTTGCTGTCTGGTATCTTGGAGCACCAGGAGAGAAAACCTGCAATTAGCCAGATGATGTTCCCTGTGTGTGATAGTGAAATGCAAGGACTGGTGCAGTAAGGGAAAGAATCCCTTTGCCAGCTCCTAGAAGAGAACATGTATAGGGCACTGCTGTTGTGTTTTGGTATTGCTGGTGGGCTTCAGAGGAAAGAAGTATTTAGATAAGGCATAAATGATTCCCTGGGATATAAATTTTATTTCAAATTGCAATTAAAAAGCTGTATGAGCACAGTTTAGTCCTGTGATTGAACACAGTTTGTGAAAAAATCTGTGAGCAAAGCAGAAATGTATCTATCTCTGTATGTATCAAAGCTAATTGTCTGAGTGCTGACCACTTACAGTTAATTGTAAAGTATTTCCAGGAGTGCTGTAATCATGCATTATTCTTTTAAAAGCGGGAAGTGAGAAGGTAGCTATAGAGGGAGTTAATGCCTGTGAATTTGCTAGGAATCAAGTTAGTTAGGAAACACATTTGAGAGGATTAACATTGTTGTAGAAATTAATGTTTGAAGAGATTGACCAGAAGGGTGCCGAGTTGAAGAATTTGAAAGGCAGCTGAGTCCTCTTGGTGGGCTTGTCAAGCTTGCTCCCCAGCCTGGATTAATGAGGTGGGAAACACAGAGCAGAGCAGGTGCTGCAGGATCCCTTGGAAAGTGTATCCGAGACAAAAAAGAGGAAATTAACCTGTGTCCATCCTGCCTATCAGGTAGGGCTCTGACTTGCCCTGGTTTTCTTCAGCTTACTCCCTCAGGCTGCAGGGAGCTGTATTGCATAACTTTCTTTAATGGAGTCTTTGTGGGAGACTCTCCTTAGAATGAGACCTGTTTAATTCACTGTGCAAACCCTCAGATGTGTCGGGGCTTTTACAGGTCAATATATCCGCGTCCCTGGAATATATTGCTCCTTCTCTGAACACATTTTTGGAATATATGTAAAATGTTAAGAAAGCAGGCAGCTTAGCACTATGAGACACTCTAATCATCAAGTTGAGATGGAGATAAGTAGGGAGATGAATAAAGAGAAATATTTTTGAAAATCTTGGGAAAGGAGAATAGAGTCTGTTTTGTGTCCGTTTAGGACTTGAGTGGGTCTGGTGGTTTTGGTTTTGTTTTCCTCTAATTCTAATGACAAGAGATTAATGTCTCTGCTCTAATCAAGTTACTTCATTTAGAATAAAATCCATTGGCTTGTAGGCTTTGTTGCAATTCAGTTTGCAATTATTTTAAGAAAATGCTAAAATATCAAATCTCTTAGAAGGAATATAATATTTTTGCAAACATGGGACAAAAAACTTTTGTTCTTTTTTCTCATCTTTTCCAACGCTGTAATGGGATGGCTGACAGACTCAGAAACAGACATCAGTATCAATTAAAAAAGGTGACATGAAGGAGCCTGAGAAGCCACGTGCAGAGGACAAAATCTGCTGCATTTCCAAGCTGAAGGTACAGCCATATTTTAGCAATTTTGCAGGAAGACACAACTGTAATTACTTGCATTTACAGTATTTTGGTAGAAATTAAAACCTAGCCTAAATTAATGGGTAACCCGTTCTTTTTTTATCCTTAATGCCCTAACTAAGGTCAAAAAAGTTAGTAAGCAGCTGTGCTGGTTTTTGCTCTCCCTGAACTTTACATTCTGTGGTGTGTTGGAGGTATTGATTGATGGCTGCATTGAAGCTCTACCACTGAATTTGTGTCATCCCCCCAGTCTAACACGTTTACCCTTCATTCTTGAAGCTGTGAAATGAGCCTTACTGACTGGGATGTAGCAGTAAAAATTGGCTGTTGGTCCTGAATAGTAATTCAAGTTGTCAAGAAATGCTAGAAAATCTTGTAAAATAGGTTTTTTAAAATAGTAATTAAAAACCCAAATACGCTACTTTTGCTTTTTAGCTTTTGCAGCAGATGTGCTTAAAATAATATTGATTTCATTTTATAAATGCTGTTTATAAAGAAACTTGAAGTTAAAAGGATTTGAATACTACTGCACTCATTACTTTTAACTTTTTAACTGTCAGCTGCTACTAATTGTCTTGTAAAAAGGACATGTTATTTACTCCTTTCAGTTGAAATTTCTTATTCTGGCCTCATGATCTCTGCTGGGATGGGAGAGCAGATCCTGGATCGGGTAATTCGACCAAAGGAAATTATTTTAGTTCTGCAATTTGTCATTCACATGAACAGAGGGTGAGAAGGTCCTGCAGGTGGCAACCTTGCAGCAGGCACATGGTTGGGGCTTATGAAGAGTCTTGGTCAATTCCAGAAGATGAAGAACAAAGGGGTTTTTTTTGTGGTTTGTTTGGGTTTTTGTTTGTTTGGGTTTGGTTTTTGGTTGTTTTTTTTTTTGTTTCTTAGTTTAGCGAAGCCATGACTCTAGAAAAGAATAGATGATGGGATTTACATGCATCAATGGAACAGAACTACTCACTGTTTAAACTGGAAGCACACCTTCACTGGAGGAAAGAACCATGGAACATTCATAAATATGTAATTTTGAATTGTTTATTCATCCTTCTCTTCCCTTCCTAGGTATTTCTGCTGGCACTGTCACTTGCATTCCTTGGGAAAACGATGTCTGGTGCTTACATGAACAGCATGTACACACAGATAGAGAAACAATTCAATATCCCAGCTTCTCTAGTGGGCATCATTAATGGAAGCTTTGAAATTGGTAATCTCATTTTAATACTTCTGATTCCTTGAAAATGTAATATATGGTATGAGCATGTGTTAGTGACTCCCATTTGCACTCAATTACTGTATGTGACAATAGTGGCCAATCCTGTCGTTCTTTTGAGCTGATGTGTAACCATTTCATGCCTTGGAAACGAATAGGACCACTTGAATGGGTAAATCTGGGTTTAAAACCCGGTTCAGCTAATTTCTGCACTATCATAAGATATGACAGAGCAAGTAACAAAATAGAGTTAGTTTATGAGATGTGTATTGAATCTTTTTGAAGAAAACAAAAAAGCCACTATGTAAACTTTGTTTGAATTTAGTCATATTTAGAATTTTGCAGTTCCTTTAATTAAACTTGGTTAGAGTGGATTGTGAATCCTTACCTAAACTCGATAATATTTTAAGGTTTCATATTTGTACAACTGTACCTGCAAAGAAACAGTTTCCTTGCCTGTCAGTAAGTTTTGTTGTCCAGCGATAAATTTAAATGTACATCTATAATTGTCATTCAAGCCACTGGTTCAAATACAGCCTGTTTAGAAATTATACATAAAAAGGCATTATTTTCTTTTAGAGCATGATGCTCGTCACTTAGAGACATGATTTTGTTCTTCTGACAAAAAGCTCACAAAATTAGTAGGTGTGCAATTACTAAATTTCTATTTTTATAGGGCCTGATTCATAATATGAAGCTTGATTCTTTTCTTAGTTGCATAGTAATAAATTGAAAATCAATTGATTCTAAGTCAAAGTGGAGGAGAGGAAAATGATAATTTTTAGTCCTTTTTTTTTAAATGGTACTAGGTATAAAAACCTGTATTTTTTATTCTTTAAAATTTGCTGAAATTAATATTAATTTATTATTTTTTTTGTATGATTGTCCTCTTGTGTTTATTATTTTCACTACAAACCACTATACACTTCTGTATTTCCCCACACATTACAAAATAAGGTATCCTAGGAGAATAACTTCCTAAAACAGCCGTTATTCTGCAGTCTCTGGGCCTGATCCCTATGCAAAGCAGTGGGAAATTTCTTCTCTATAAAGGTGCACTCAAAAATCTCTCACTGTGATCTCTTTTCCTTTCCGCCTGTTATTCTCATGTTCTTTTCATGTGATGTAACTTTTCCAAAAAAAGATCACACAAAGCAGGGAATTATTGCACCATGTAGGCAGTTCACTGTCTAGTGACACTTTTTTCAAGACAAGAAAAGAAACAGAAGTTGAGCTTACAAGATATACTCAAACTTCTATTGCACTTTCAAAGATCCTGGGATGCCTTGGTTTGTAAATTGTGAACCAGGTTCTCTTTGCAGGAAACTTGCTGCTGATAGCATTCGTGAGTTACTTTGGAGCAAAGCTTCACAGACCCAGAATAATTGCCTTGGGCTGCACAATTCTGTCCTTTGGATGTCTTTTGATATCACTTCCTCATTTTCTGTTTGGAAGGTGAGTGTTTTGCTTAACTCACAGCAGCCTCTGTGATCCTTACTTGCATTAATTCTTACATCTTTCCACTGAATGGTTTGCTTATGGGGAGAGGCATTGCTGAGCATGATTCAATATGATCATTGCAGAGCAGTTTTGTTGGTTTTGCTCCTGAGATGGCTTCAAAAGTCAGTCATCACCTTCTGAGGACAGTCACCCCTCTGATGGGCATCTTCCCTTGCCTTTGTCCTTTTGCAACCCCTTGTGTGAGCTCTCCCAAGTGACATGGGCAGTGATGCTGTCATTTCACACTGCTAGCTCTTGTCTGATGGATGGGCAATAGAAGGTGATTTCCAAAGATCTCTTGGTCTGGAATGTGGATGGCAGATCGTACCTGCCCACTGTGTTGGCAAGGCCTCTACTGGCCATAATGGTTCTTCAACTACTTTTAAATGATTTTTTGCTTGGCTTAAAAAAACAATAATCTAAGCTTGTGTCGTTTTTAATCAACAAGGTATGTTTTGATCTTTCAGTCTTGTGTCCAGTGTGGAATGGCTCTGACAACCTTGGCAGCACCCTCTGTTAACTTTTCACATGGATTCCCTTCTTCCTACAGCTACACACTCTTCTAATAGGTAGCTCAATTACTCTGGTGTAGACAAGTGAGATGGTTCTCATGAGTATCTTCTTGACCTGTACGTGCTTTCCTTTCATTCCAACAGCTATCATATTGAAAGCAGCATTTCACAACAAGAAAATTTTTCAGTGGTGCCTCTATGCCTTGTTAATCAAAACTTGTCCTCTTTGCCTACAGAGGAACCATCAGCAGGTATGACTTTTCCTGTTTGTATTAGTATTTCTTTCTGTGTCTTTAGTGTCCAAATAAATTGGCTTTTATTATTATTAGCAATTGCTTCAGGGTTCTGTTTTTAATCAGTACTTTTTGATGACCTAGAAACTAGAGGTGAGGAAATTTCCTGGCCTTTGTGTTTCTTTGGCTCCAGAGCTAAAACATTCCTTTCATGCAGTTTTCACATTGTCCAGGCAGTTCAATTAACATCCCTGGCAGTCTGCTTTGGGATAGTATAACACCAGGTTGTTCTCACAAATGTTCCTCTTCTTGACTTGAAATCCTATGGTACCATGAGGAGGTGGGAAGCATATTTCAGCAGTGGGTAAGAGGCATAAGGATATTTTTGTATTGTATCACATAGGAAGTAAAAGAACGAGAAATAGAGCTAGAACTAAAATATACATCTCCCTTCCCTTTAGAGAAAATAGTTTAAACTAGGCTAAAACTTACCTGTGAGACTGAAACATGCATGTGCCACTAGGAGTGTGCATGTAAAGGAGCTACTGGGAAGTCCAAGGGCTCAGAGGAAGCCTTTTAATGCCTACAAAATTATCATGCTGAGGCTGGGATTAATCTCCTGGGCCTTTAGCTACCTCAAAGGGAAGCATTCAGTCTGAGCCATCCCTTTAGATTCCCTTGACAGCTGGGCAAGGGAGACCACAGAGCTCTTGCAGAGCATATCCCTTGCTGTAAGGGGCAAGAGAATAGACCTGGGGATCCCAGCACCATAGAGTCACCCCAGGACAGAGTCCATGCTCTGTACTCCAGGGTGGATCAGATACTTCTTGGGTGGCCCTTCTGATTGCTAGAAACTTACTTAGGTGCTTGGTGGATGGTAAAAGTTAGGTGACTGGAAGCCCACATTTCATTGTTAAACTTTGTGATGGAGTTCCTTCAGGGTGTGCTGAAGCTGAATCACACTGCTGTAACACTGCGCCATCAAACCATTGCACTGTGCTGGCGTTTTCTGTCTCCATTGAGTGGTGGATGTAGCTTCCAAGCTTTCCAAGACTACACGTCAGTTAAGATATTATTTTTTGCATCTTTGCAAAAAGAAGTTATGAAATGTGCACACCTAACAGCACTTGAAGATTTCAGATACTCTATTTTTCCATTTTATAAATGCAAGAATAAAGGCACGGAAAGGTAAATCATTTTCATTGAAATTATGTACAGCCACTCAATAGGCACATTAGAACCCACAGATCCTCAAGCCTGTGAATAAACTTGGGTAAGGTGATGGCTTCGCTATTAGTCTATGGACAAGCAGGACTATGATATCCATATATATGAGTCCATTTCCTGCATGAAGTGAAAACTGGACTGAGTTTGACCACAGCTGCATGTGGATTGCTTCACCTGTGTTTGCTGACAGCAATCTGACATTGAAACACGGGATCTGGGTTTTATCTGTGGTCAGTCACCCAGAAAGACAGCAGCTGCTGCTAACAAAGCTGTTCTTTATTTGTTAATGAATCTGCACTGAGAAATCTCAGCGTGACAAAGTGGGAGAGAGCAGTGGAATCTGAAGTAGACTATGGGATGAAGAAATCCCAGTTCGAGGAGAAAAAGGAAGTAAAAAAGTATTTTGACTTTTTTTTTTTTTTCAATAGGACAGGCCTACCCACCAAGACTTAAGCTATTGCTCAATTCTTTGTCTCTAGGTTTTCATCAATAGTTGGGACTAAAACGTTCATTCGAACTTTTCGTTTTGTCCACAGAATGTGAAAAAGAGCCTGGGTCCTTGCTGTGGATATTTGTGATGGTTGGAAACATAGTGCGAGGAATGGGTGAAACTCCCATCATGCCTTTAGGCATTTCCTACTTGGAGGATTTTGCCAAAGCAGAGAATTCACCTTTCTACCTGGGCAAGTCTACCCTATTGTGATAACTCCCCTCCTCCAAACACACACACATACAAACAAAAGGAAGTAGTATTATGATGCCCTTCAGTCCAATAAAGCAAGACAGAAAACAGTAATTATTGCCTTATCAAAATAATCATATTGTAGAACTTGGAATTTAACCAGAGAGAAACTGTTGGAATGAGGCCATTTTTGAGTGCAAATGTTTTTCCAGTAGAGTTGTCCTAACCATATGTAACAATTCCAAGAAGATAATTATGTCTGGGTTCTAATTTATGTTTTCTTTTTTTACTACTCTAGCATGTCTACATACATCAACTGTAATCGGCCCCTTCCTTGGTTTATTGTTGGCTTCATTCTGTGCAGAGCTGTTTGTTGACATTGGATCAGTAAGTGCAGGTAATGGGTGAACATATAAAACCTTATTTTTAAGTCTGCAGTTGGTGTATTTTTCAGAACTAAAAGATGTTTTCTTGTTAATATGTGTTAATCCTACCTGAGTTTGTTGCTGTTTCTCTTAGAATGGAAGGTCTGTGTACAATATTCAATTCACATATACACAAATCAATCTGCTCTTAAGGTATTAGATCAAAAATTGTCGTCTGGCTTAACAGAAAAAAGAACTAGAATTAATTTAAAACAAGCCACTGAAATTTGCCAGAAAATTGGCAACATTAGAAAAGAAGACTGGAGACTATTCTTATTAATTTTAAACCTCATTTTAAGAATTGTTAAAATGCTTTTATTTCAGAGATGACTAGGAAAGCGCAAAATGACAGCAAAGAATATTTCTGAAGCGATCCAAGATGTCTGGTTTTGTGTTTTATTATAGATGAGATAACTATAACAGCTACTGATGCCCGCTGGGTTGGAGCATGGTGGCTGGGCATTTTGATTTGTGCACTGCTAAACCTTCTTGTGGGAATACCATTTTGGTTTTTGCCCAAGTCACTTGTGAAGGAAGGTGAAATCAATGAACCTGAAGAGGCAAGTGAAAAAAGTGTAGCGCCATTGCAAGAAAATGATAAAATTGAAACCAAACAGACCATGTATGAAATTGCTAAAGGCAAGTTATATTATATTTTATTTCCTTCTTTAGTCCTAAGGTGTCTGTGTATTGTGTAATTAAAGATGGGTCCAAGGTATGCAATACCTACTCTGCTTTGATATCGCTGTAGTTCAAAGGCTTTGTGCAGGCATTTAGAATGGCTGCTTGCAGAGGAAGAAAGCTGATTTCATAGATCTAGGATTGGGACTCCTTCCTTTTCCCCTCCTGCATTTCAGATATAGATATATATATATATAGATACTTTTTTCCCATGAGATGGTTAAAGCACTGAAATCTGGTTAGGAATATTACAACTCAGTGAGCTGTGGGTGAGTTGGAGATATTGATTGTATGTACCCCACATTCACCGTGCAGAAAAGCAGAAACACAAGATAAAATTGTGCATATCTTGAGTCCAACTGAAAGCCCTAGAAGGGAATTGACAGGTGCTTAAGTGTCTCATAAACATTTAATTACTGTTGAACAAAGATATATTCGACTCACACTTATTCATGTTACCATTGGCAGCTTTCACAAGTGTGTCTTTCAAATCTATGTATCTGTAGGAGGTTATCTTTTTCCTTCCTTATTTGAAGGGAACATCCTTCCTACATTTCCTGGTTGGAAATGTAAGTGAATAAACTATGTCAAAGTCTGTGATCTTCAGAGTAGTCTCCTGATCCTGTCCTGCTCAGGGCCCTCTGACAACACCTTCATTTTCAGACAGTAAGTGCCGTGTGGCAGCTCCCTCTCTCTGCCGTTTCCAGCTGGGTCCTGCAAATTCACCATACCCAGAGTCTTGGCTGATGTTGCAACTTCATTTTGCTAAACAGAGCATCTCTTTCTGCCGTCACATAGCCTTAAATGAATTCATGAATAAAATACTGTTCTAGAGAGGAAAAGTTCCCAGCTCAGATGGGAGTCCTCAGTGCACCAGGGTCCCTTCAGAGCTTATGTTTTCATGATCATTCCCTCCCTGCATTGATGTGAATGTTCACTGTCCCTGAACATCCTGAATGTAGAGCCTTTTCATTTCATGGGATTGTTGTGGCTGCAAGGGACTTGTGGAGGTCAGCTGCTCCAACCCTGTTCAACCACTTACAACCTATTACCAGGACATGTTCAGACAGCTTTTTAATCACCAGGGATTTGGAGTCAAAGCTTGATGTTCTTATAGTTAAAAATAACCTAAAATAAAATAAATTTATAATAATAAAATTTCCTTAAGATGCTCTGATTAAAAATGTCACTACATCTGTAAATAATGCAGGCTATTTATAGTGTTTCTAATATTTGACTGATTTTTGAAAGATTTGCATACAGATCTTCTTCTAATAAAGTACTTGCTTACCTCTGAAAGATATACACCCATCCTAAGTGGTGCCCACTTTCAGTGAGGCCCAGCCATTGTTTTGTAGATGCTTATATTTATCTGCGGAGTCTCCTGAAAAAAGCTCAGCACATTGATTAACAGAGAACATTAGACAAAGGGGAATTGTGGGGCTTTTTTTATGGTTCAAATCCTGACTTAATGGGCATTACACAGAGCAAAGACCTGTGTAAATTAGTTTCTTAGATGATTACTTGGCTGAAAACTGGCTGATAGAGATTTTGAGAGGATGGTGGGAATAACTGTGGTCACAGCTCTCTTCAGGCCTCTTCTGCCTCAGTAGCAAAACCCAAAATCAGTGTTCAGGTCTTTGGGGGCAGCTTGTCACATCTCTGTAGTGCATTTGCACCCTTTGTATGCCAGGTGCAGGACAGGAGTTTTGACAAATGCTCCGGGGGCATGAGATGAGAGAAAAGGGAGGGCAGATGCAGCAGTAGCTGCTGCTGCTGCTGTGATTTATTATTTTTTTATAAGCAACAGCTGCACTGGTGTGTGTGTGTGAGGGTATCTTTGGGTAGAGGGGACATGCCAGAGTACCCTGGGCTAAGCAATCTCTGGTGTCTGGCAAAGCATGAGATTTAGCCTGCTCCAGTTCAGGACCATTTCTGCTCCCCTCTGTCCCCCACAGCCACGCTGAGCAATGGGTCATTCTTTTCATAAAGCATCACACTAACTCATGGCATTATTTCATTCCAGATTTCATCCCCTTCCTCAAGGCTCTGTTTCACAACCCTGTGTACATGTTATTTATATGCATAACTGTGTTACAGTTCAGTGCCTTTGATGGCATGATATCCTTCATGCCCAAATATCTGGAACAGCAGTTTGGAAAATCTGCATCAGATGCCATCTTTTTAATTGGTATGCTTGCCTTTTGCTTTGCTCTATTCTATCAATTAGTGATGTCTCTATCTAAATTATCTATATTTTCACGGAGATATGTATATTCATGTGTATTTACATATACATACTAAGGTTAAATGCTTCTACAGCTGAGGAATAGCACACTACAAAGCATTTCTAAATATGAATGAATTTTCTGCTAAAAAACTAATACTTTTTTGTGCAGAATTTTATAATCCAATTCCCATCTTCTGAATTGGCTTAGAAAATTCAGCTGTTATGAAACTAAGCCATGTGATATTTGTGTAAAACCACTTCCAACATGTCTTTCAGTCAGGATTTGCTTCATTAAAGCATCAATCAGCGAAGAAGTGTGAGAACACATTCAGTAATCTCATCTTAAATCCTGAAAGTCTGTTCCTCTTTCTGTGATGCTCAGAGTGCATTAAGATGGATATTGATTGCGATTTGCACTAGCTTATATATCTGTTCAGTTTCTTTTCTCAGTCAGCTGGAGAGGTTGGATTGAAACCATATAATTTTTATTTTTTTTTTTAATTGAACCTAGAGTGCAACTCTAGATTGCAATTTTCCAATTAATGATTTTAGTCCTACCCTGTAGCTCACTCCCCAAGCAGTTCTTACCTGCTGTTGACTTTGGCAGAGATTTTGGGTGTGAAAGGAAATTTGCAAGGACCCATTTCTGATTGTAGTGAAATTATGCAGTCACGGGCACTCTTTGACTCTTTGCCAAGCACAACCTTCCCTTACAGCAGCTGTAGTAGTTACTTGTCTAGCTACCTTAGAGTAGAGTAGCTTTGGTGGTCTCCTTTATTTTAACATGGAAGTTTCACTTGTTTAAATAGGTGTTTACAACTTACCAGTTCTATGCGTTGGGTATTTTTCTGGCGGCTTATTCATGAAGAAATTCAAGATAAATAACTATCAGGCTGCGAACATAGCATTTTGGGTATCTTTACTGGAATACCTTCTCTACTTTGCTGCCTATTGGACTGTCTGTGATACCTCACCAGTTGCTGGTCTAACAGTTTCCTATCAAGGGTACGTTCTTTGGGACTCAAGAGGACTTCAGTCTTTAGATGCCAGGATGATTGATTTTCTTGTCAAGAATCAGCCAGTAGCTTGATTTCAGTTCCCTATCATAAATTCTCATGGCTTTTTGCTTGCATGAGACAGGAGGTCTGTTATCCCTGTTTCAAACAATAAAAGTGTATTAAAAAAGATATCCATGTCAAGACTCATGCAATTGCATGCCCATATTAGTTCTTTTACTAATACAATTAGTGAAGTCATGTAACTGCAGGTGAAAATAAAAATTATTGGTCAAATCAGGCATACACGAGTGCAATTTCAGAATAAGAGAGGAAAAAATCCACTTCTTGATCTTACACTGGTTTACTTGAATTTGATTACTATCAAGTTATCAGAGGATATTTTATCTGCAGTTTCTTGATTTGAAGCCTGCCATTGATCATTGGGAATCATAGGATGGTTTGCATTGGAAGGGATCTTAAAGATCCCTAATTTCCAGCCTCCCTACCATGGACAGGGACACTTTCCACTAGACCAGGTTGTGTTGCATGTCTGTAAAATGAACGTTGTGGTGTAGATGCAACACTTAGGGACAATTAAGAACATATATGCCATAAATGAGAAAAATGCTGTAGGGTATGCATACCTAATTTATAATAATGTAATATAATACAATTTAGTGTCCTATAGAAAGGCATGACTTCAGGGTAAGAGCATGTAGGACTGGGTCTTGATTCAACACTTGAGCTAGAATAGAATCTTAAGCATTGCAAAGGGTTACTGTGGGGATCTCATTATTGAAATACGTATTTGTCTTCCAAATGTGTTTCAGAATAGAGCAAGTTTCATATGCAGAAAATACTCTACAGGCTGTCTGCAACATGGATTGTGATTGCCCACTTAAAATATGGGACCCTGTTTGTGGGAGCAATGGAATCACTTATGTGTCACCTTGTCTTGCTGGGTGTAAATCCTCAAGAGGAACTGGAAGAAGTGTGGTAATTGTTGTACTGTACCTATGTAATATAGTAGGTGACAAATACTTATACCAATATAGGGCAGGGAATATCCATGCATGTACACTTAATTGAATATAAAAGGTGAAAGATTTGAACAAATTCATTGAGTAGCACCAGAAATTTCAAACTGCATATGAAAATTAGTTTCAGTTTAAATTAAAAAATAAAATTAAGAAGAATCCTTCTCTACTGAGAACTAAAGGAGTCTTAAATGCTTAACATGGAGTGAGAAATTATTCTGAAGGTATTGCCAACTGGAAATCTGAGTGCCCAAGAACATTTCAGCCAAAATAGAAGTCTATAGCATGGACTTAATAAGCTCTTTTACCCTGTAGATTTAAACAAGTAACCAGGTAGAACTTTTATCCCCAAATACAGGGGATGGCTGGACCTGTGCCTGGCAGATTGGGAGAGAGGCCACAGGGCAGTGCTCCTCATGAGTCACAAGTTCAAGTGCAGGAAACAGTGAGATGAGTGCCACCAGTGTTGGGTTTGTCACTCAGTGTGTGAGTTTGGACAATCTGTGTGATTAAAATACTTTTTTGACAGGTTTTTGAAAACTGCACCTGTGTTGCAGCCTCAGGATTTTCATTGCAAAACATCTCTGCAACTCTTGGCCAGTGTGATGGACATGAAAACTGTGACAAGATGCTCCATTATTTCTTAATATTGTCATTAGTCTGCAGCTTCATTTTTTCCTTAGCAGCCATGCCTGGATACATGGTCTTGATAAGGTACAGTAAAATTACCTTGTCTTAAGAAATCTATTGGACTTCTTCTTAGTCTGAGGATTTAATTCTCCAGAAAATTAAAAGTTTTTTAGTTTTGCGTATAGAAGAAGGAAGAGTAGAAAAGCATTATGTCATTTGTGTGCTGTTAAGGTTTACTGTCATGTCACCTTTGAAATCTGATGTTGCTTCTGGCTATCAGCTTTATCCCGAATGAATGCAGGACCACTGAGTCAGGGCACTGGCATATTGAGTAGTGTGATACCCGTGTGTTAAGCAATCACAGGAACATGGTGTTGATTAAGGCACATCAAGGTACACTACCCTGTACTTTGTGTTGGCCTCGGTAAGGGGATGATACTTGGACAAGTAGCTTTTCCTTTTGTGATTTGGCTGTCCTAGATAACACACTTTTCAGCAAACATCACCTAATGATCATAATGAACTCTTTCAACCAATGGTCTTATTAGAATGGTTTGAGCCTAATGTGATGAAGAAGTTGATTTTTAAGAAAGGATTAAACAGCTCTTGCTAATATCACTTCTACGAATAAGTGTACAATGCAATTATCATACAGGTCTCTAAAGCCTGAAGAGAAGTCGTTTGGAGTGGGTATCCATGGGCTGGCTTCAAGAGTGTTTGGTAAGAAAATATCTAACACTTCAGAAGAACAGTTAGTGCTGACCTAGAGAAGGATCACAACAAGGCTATGGGCATGGCAAACGAACCATTGCTTCTATGGAGTGCCTTTGATCAGGAAGCATTTAGGTTTTGCTTTTTTTTTTACAGCTCTCAGCAGCATGGCAAAGTAGAACTGCTTGCAGTTGGCATGTTTTTATACTGGATAATTGGCTGGTATCTTGGTTTAACCCCAGTCAGGATCTAAGTACTATGCATCCACTTATTCTACTCTTATATGGAATAGGGAGGAGAGTTGGGAAAAAGGTAGAACACACACGTTAAGAATAGTTCAGTAGTGGGAATAAAATATAATAATAATAATAGGAAAAATAAAGAGAGGAATAAAAAAAAAGAAATAAAAGTGATGCAGAATAAAATTGTTTGTGATGTTGATCACAGTATTCATCCCAATCTCAAGCAGCAGTCAGTCCTTCCCTGCCCCTTCTCTCCAGTCTATGTACGAAGCATGACATTCCAGGTTATGGAATATCCCTTTGGCCAGTTTGGGCCAATTGTCCTGGCCATGCTCCCCCCTGGTTTTCTGTGCAGCTCCTCCCTAACAGAGCATGAGACATGGAAAACTTGATGTCAGTACTCCTTAGCAGCAACTAAAACATTGGTGTGTTATCAACATTATTCTCATATTAAATCCAAAACACAGCACTGTACCAGCTGCTGAGAAGAAAATTAACTGTATTCCAGCAGAAAACAGGGCATGGGACTACATCTGCTGCTCCTTGGAAAGCCATTTGTCATTCCTTCACTATTGCTTATTGTTTGTTTATTGAAGGCAGCATTGCCTCTCATTGATGGGAGCAAACTTTGAGTTCTCAAGAGGAAACACTGTCCATACTGCAGCATGTGAATATTGTCTAACAGGCAGCAGGGAAGAAAATCTTTGGCTGAGGGTAGGTGGATAAGGAAGAAGAGAGAGCACAAGATACATAGAGGATGTGTCTCATGCTGCAAGAAGACAGTACAGATGGAGTAGGTGACAAACAGCATAGGCTCTGTCGTGTATCTGATAACCAGAAGAAAATAGCTATTCACAAAAATGTTGCTAATATTTTTTGTAGCTGGAATTCCATCTCCCATTTATTTTGGAGCTTTGATAGATACCACTTGCTTGAAGTGGGGTACTATGACTTGTGGTGGAGAAGGAGCATGTAGGATGTATGATATTGTCACCTACAGGTATATTTTCTACTTTATTTTAATTTCACCTTCTTACTCTATTATTGCATGCATTAGAGATGTAATTTTATGCACTTTGTCTTCCTAGCAGACAAGCTGCTCCTGTGTTAGAGATATGACACAATTTTCTTTGGCATTGGCTTTATTTATCAAGTGCAACCGTTGACACAGACATTGGAAAAACCTTTGAGCAGAAATGTTCTGGTGCCATAACATTCACTAATAACCTTTCGTGAGAACAAGCCTTAAAAACACGGAATTATGATAAAAATAATGAAAAGCAGTTAGCTCGTGTGGGAAAAAGGTCTAATGAGTGACTGCAATATCGTTGAACAGAAAATGGTTGAGACAGTGCTTGAATAAGATGCAGTTACTTAAGTTGGAAATCGGCCCAGAATACTGCATGTCACGTTTTTGTAGTCCTTCAAGGATGCTTGTGGGATTTTAAAAGAAAAATCTTGTTGAACTCATACTAATTCCTTATAATACTGTGTTGAGGTTGATTTGGAAGAATATTCTTATGAATATTTAGAAATTTTAACCAGGTAGTCTGAGCCCTTTCAGGAATCTCTTTTCCCTATGGATAAAGACATAAGAGTACCAGGTGCCTGACTTCACTGGCTAAATCATTTGCCTGAAACTGGGAGACGTAAAAGGCCGTTTTCCTTCTCTGTTCTCACATTCTCATCTTCTGTGAGATCCAAAAGCATCAGGGCACAAGTTTTAGAGTGGCTTCACAAAGCAATGTTTGCTGAGTAGTTTTGCCCTCTTTTTGCAAATGCATATATTTAATGAAACTCATTATTTATTTCAGGTGGCTCTATCTTGGCCTGCCAGCAGTGTTACGTGGAGTGTCCTACATTCCAAGCACACTAGTTCTCCTCATTTTAAAGAAGAAACTGAAATCTGAAAAGCCAGTCTTAATAAATGCCCCAATAGAAATGCAGGATCAAGAACAAGAAGCAGTGAAATAGCATTTCGCAGAAGGACGTGTTGGGAAAAAAACATTGCTGGGTAAATATTGGATATATCCTTGTGAAAAAAGTTGTACTTTAACTAATGAACGCTTGGACAGAGATGAATAGAATTACACATAGTTGTATCCTACTTACATTATACAAGTATCAGTTTGTAAACACGAGGCATGAGAAAAATGTTTGGTGCAAAAGAACAAGGGCTAGAAATAAGAAAACTTATGAAATGCCAGGTTTGAGTTGTCTGAGCAAAGGGCGGTGAAGAAGAAACGTGTGTTTAGTCCTGTTTCACGGAAAATAGAGAGAATTTTGCATTTGACCCCGAGCGATGCCAGATTTCATCTTGGAATTCTCACGTGGTTTCTGTCAGTCTCTCTCATTGACTGTAGTCAGCATTTGCAACTTCTTCAGGCCCCAGTTTTCCATAAATTTATTTAATGATATTATTAGTCCTTTCTGGCAGGGATTGTTTGTTATTCTGCATTGCATAGGTGGCCAATATATTGGAAACCTGGTTTATGACATGGTCTGGGTGTTGTGGTTATGATAACAAATTAAAAAATTACATTTTTAAAAACTGCTGTGTTATGGTGATTTTTTTAAGATTTGCATAGAGCATTGACAAGGAAAGATCATCAGGATTCGTTACTTCAGTTACCTGCTGTCCTGGGATGTCTTCAATATTTAAGGAAAAAAAACAAACCTAAATGTCTCAGGTAAAAATAAAATATAAAGAAAATCCTGTTGATATAAGTCATACAAGCTGTCTTTGTGGTTTAATGCATCCATGTTTAGCATCTAATTTGGCACTGCCTCATGTTTGGCCCCAGTGCAGAGGACCCTTAGGTCTGTTTGCCAGTGGCCATGCAATAACTTCTTAAGGCCTTTTATTACAGGTCCTGGTTATTATTGCCTACTGCGTAAGGCATGGAGGGAGTTTGTGAAACTACCACAGACCAACGCTCCAGCACCTGCAAACATTTCCTACTTATTTATTCTATATGGCAGTCCTACTCCCATTTAAACCACTCAGGACCTTCTGCAGCCACCAAAAAGTGGGAAGGGTGTTTTGCCCCTGTAGTTCATTAGTTCAGGTACAATAAGGTGTCTTATTGACATCATACGTGTGAGTGCTTGGAATTGCTTTTGATCCTTGTGGCATCAGTGAGAAAAGATCCATTTCCTCCCACAGAGCAGGAAATCCGCTCCAGAATTTAAAGTTTCCTCAAATACAATCGATCCTTAATCCTAATTGTTTTGAAAGCATCTGTCATAGCCCCTGTCTCCCTTTGCATTGGATGATTAGAGCTGAACAGGTACAACATGAAGAAGGGGAATGGGAGAAAGACAGACATGATGCAGCCAGGAACAGAGAATGCAGCTCCTTGTTAAACCACAGATGTCCCAGAAGCTTTGTGGAAATTTGAAGCTGATTTTGAGCATTGTTCTTGCTAGCATGGGGCACTCACTGAAAGCCATTATTCTTTCTTGGTCATGTTCTTCCAAAGCTGGAGTTAAAAATCCTTCACAGACATTTAGTCGCAGCTTGGTGCCAAGGTAACCTGGGAAACGTGAAAAGTTACAGAGCACCAGAACTTCACAGCTGTAAGAAACACAAGAGCTTTGTTAAATAGGCAAATCTGTGCCACTTACATGGAGCACTGCCAGAGGGTCAGACCTAGTTAACTCACTGAGTTTTGAAGTGGAAGGAAGCAGATAGGAATGTTTCCAAGTTTTAAAACTAGCATTTCAGCAAGAACGTTTCCAAGTCTTAAATTCAACATTTCAGTGGGTATATTAACATCGTGTTTAGTTGTTCTGGCTCATCTGCCTGAGGATGGAGCAGTGCAAGAGGCCACGTGTCCCAGGGGCACCGCTGCCCAGATTGTGTCTCCAGGTGGGCAGTGCTGGATGGGTGATGCCTCCTTAGAGAAGCTTCTCGGCATAAACCAACCTGTGGTGGGAACATTGCTTCTCCAGAGCAGAACCAGAACACACAGGGTGTGGGCTGTGCAAAGGTAATCCTCATAAATCCTGTATGATATGCCATGCCTGGTGCCACAGCCATTCCTAGGATGGGGCTGGGAGGTTAGAAAATTACTCTTAAAGCTAAGCCTTCAAATGTAAAGCTAAACATGAGACTGGATTCCTTCAAGTTTTAACATGCTGACCTTGATTCAGCAAACCATTTAAACACGTGCTTTGAAATGAGTGGCCTTATGGATGTTTATTGTTTAAATAGGTGATACTGGACACTTCAAGAGCGAGCCTCAAACTGACACTGTTGTGACCCCTGTTTGAACAGAGGTGGGGTACAGAAAGTCCTGAGAGGCCATTTATTGTGCTTGAATGGTCTTTGGTCTGGTCCTGGTCTAATGTTTCAAGCACTGAGACCTGTGTCAGAACTGTGGGCAGCACAAGCCACAAATGGGAATAATGGCAGTAGAAGGAACAGCATATGAATATCTGAGCTGATAAAGCCCAATATGAAATTATAAAAATAGGTGGTAGGTTTATTTTCTGAGTGCCTGAGAGCCCAGCAAATGGTTTTCAGAGTACAACCAACCACGCATCCTTGTCACTGAAATTTCAACCCAGTAAAGGGTGCCCAAGAGCTGAATTTTGGTCCTTCAGCCTACCAAATGGAAGGCTGGGTGAGGCCTGGATGTGGATGCTATCAAACACTGAGAAACAAACACTTGAAGTTTTTCAGGCAATGTGATGACCTTGGAAGTATTCTAAAGGCAATGATACACAAACTGTTCACACAAACATTTATCTAGCATTTTGTACTCAAGGTCTTTTCTAATGATCCTTGATGTTCCATTGGGGTTTTTTGGACTGTGGTCAGCGGTTGAGCCATCGTTTTCAAAGAAATGAGAAGTCTTCAGTCTCACTGAAAAATGTCAATGCTTTGTAAAATGCACATCTCTGTGCAGGAGCGAGTTGTGTGGGGTTTTTTATTTTTGTTTTTGTTTTCATTATTTTCTGAGTATTTTATTTTTATCAGCTACTTAATTGCCAAGTCTCTCATTATTTTATGGTGTTATCTATATCCTAAAAAATCCTGTGTCTGGTATAAAACTTCATTGTCCCTGTGCTGCTTCCAGCTTTTAAGAATTGAAACCTATTCTTGATGCACACAATAAACATTTCTGAATGGAACAGAACATATTGTCCAAGCTGTGATCATGTTTTTTTTCTTGACAGAAAATTACTCCTTTGGGAGGAAAATATGTTACCTAACAGGCTGATTTTAATTAGTGGACAGAAGAGAGGTATGGTGACCAAAGCTGCATCCTTACACTATAATTTGGCTGAGGTCATGTCTGATTGTCATATGATGCTTTGTGTTTGTGGTACAAACATTTTATATTAACATGTATAGCCTCTGAACACACGAGCATCACAGTTTTGGGTAAGTATTAGTGGCAGCTTAAGTTTGCTTTCTTCTTCTGTCATTTCCTCTGTGGAGAACAGTGGGCTGTTTTTTTAACCTTTCTATCTCGAGTGGAGTTTTAGCAACTAGCACTTCCCTACAGACTTTTCTCATCCAAGCAAACCATGGTGTCAGAAACCAATTCAACCTGTGGCTGCAGAGAGGAGCTCCCTGAGAATACCTGGGATGGGATTTGGCATGCAAAGAAGCCAAATCACTTTTTAGTTTATGTAAGTCTGGTCACGTGATACGAACAGAATATATCCAGCAACAAGTCCTTGGCTACTGCTGCTTTTTTTTTTTTTTTTTGTCCACACAATTGTTGTTAGTCTTTTCCTTTCTTAACAAGGCATGAAGTGTTCCCAGTTATGATGCTTGGGATTTTGAACTTTCTTTGTTTAGGACTTTCTCTGAGAATGTAGAAAATTACTTGGCAATTGCCCTTCTCTTGCTTTGTCCAGGGAATCAAGGGCATTTCCTAAATCACAGGAGACTAAAATCACAGGATAAAACACAGAGGATCCCTTTGGAAGGTTAAATCTTGGGTATTGCAATGCCTGACTTCCCTTCTAGAAGAGACCATTCCGTAGCTCCAGGCCAGAAGTGTGACATGTTAATTTCCATCTATTAACTTCCAGGAGACGTCTCAGGGATTTTGCTCACATGTGTGACCATGGGTGGCAGCTTGCTGGATCCCTACAGCCTGGGCAGAGCAAGAGGAAGGCCCTTGCCTGGAGGGCAGAAAGCCCCATTACAGGTGGGAAATGGTTTAAAAGGAGTAGTTCATTCCAGAGGTTTTGCTTTTTAAAAGACCTTGACCCCCTGTGTTGGTGGAAAGGCTGCCTGGCTTTGTGAGTTTATCACTTAAATGACTCCAAAACCAGCTTTGAAAAAACAGACTTCTCATTTGAGGTTAATGAGACACAGAGTGGGCCAGTTCATGCTGTACCTCTGCTGGTACTATTGTTTCAAGGCAGCTGCATGCTGGCTGGTACACCATGGTTTTTCCTTCTTCTCAAGAAAACCTTCTGATATAAAGACACAATCATATGTAAAACAAGCTTAAGTTTCTGCAGAAATTTTCAGAATAAAAAAAAAATTCCCAAGAGGGCACAAGACTCGCCGGGGTTTTTTTGTTGTTCTTTTTGTTTTGTTTGATTTTTGTTCTCTTTTGATTTTGTTGGTGGGGGTGATGTAGTTTTTTACCTCCCACTGTAACTCTGAATATTCTTCCTAGTGAGTCTGTATAATAGGATAGTAGCATTTGCAATGTTGCTGCTGCTACTTTGTGAGTTCTAGTTCCATGACCAGCATCTTGCAGGAATATTCCTTTCAGATATGTGTGTGTATATATATATATGTGCATGCAGACACGAACAGACAACTTGTTTCAGACATGGACAACTTTCTTATGCTCTCTGTCAGCTTTCCAGCATTTCAATTTAACAGATGGAGTCTACTAAATGACTTCCCTTTCTATTTTGATTCCTTTTCTGTTGAAGCCTGGCATCTGAAATCCCATCCTGGATTCTAGAGAAGTTATTTCTAGTTCAAATATAGGAAAGACAAAACTATTCACTGTTTCTAAGTTCCTCTGTTAATCTATCTTGATACATTTTCAGGTCAGAAAGGCTGGAGCACTAGAGGCTGCATTCAGCTATATGTCCTCACAGAGACCTTAACATCCAGTATGGGATTTTCTTGTGGCAATTAGACAAGTCTTTGTAGAGAAGAGAAGAGCTGGTAGTTCTCCAAATCTTATTTCTGTATGAACATCATGAACTTGCTATTATACACACACAGAGTCAGACAGTGGTATTGTTCAAAAAAAGAATTATGACTTCAGTAAACACCTGGAGACATGAAGAGTGGTACGTGTGGGAGAGCTGGTTTCCTTCCGTAGTGCAGCTGATAAATCCCAGAGAAATCCATATCACACAGAAACCCTTCTGCTTCTGAGGGTGAGCCATTGCAATCATTCAGTGTAGGTGGTGTCATTGGTATCTTCCCCCCTCCCTTTTCTGATATGTGAATTTTTCACAGTGTGTGGAATACCAGGTAGAGAGGTGCAGCCAATACAGGGCTGCAGTTCAGTCTTCCAGGTGCAGAGATCACTGATAGGTAATTACCCTGAAATT